TACTGCCAAAGTAAGGGAACTTATTCACAGCATTCAAAACCTCTCCATTTGCTGCAACCAATGTAACCAATGGTTCCACATATGGATGGTGTGGTGCTGGCTGACAGAGTACCTGTGTTTTCTTGGTGTTAATTGTTAGGCCAAAATTAGCACAAACAGCAGAGAATCGATCTATACTTTGTTGCATCTCAGTTTTGGAGGCTGCATTGAGTGCACAACCATTTGCAAACAAAAAAATCATGCAACAATACTTTCTCCACTTTGGTCTTAGTTTGTAGCCATTTCAAGTTAAAGAATTTACCATCAGTGCAGGGTAGCTGACCTTGAGGCCACGTTCATCCTCATCGAAGGCAATTACCCTCCCATACTGTGTGTCTCTTCTCCTTACAATGACATAGTCTATTAAATGCCAATGTTTGCTGCAAGAGTGCATCCATGAAATTTTATTGCATTTAGATAAACGGAAGACAGCATTGCTGATGAGGTCATAAGATACACAAGTCTTCAGCAGTGACTACTGCTGTTGCTGTTTCCAACTCCATTCCTCCCAAGGACTCCCTGCCGTTTGGTGGTCTGAGCCTACTCTAGCATTAAAATCACCCAGAACTGTAAGCTCATCCTCTTTTGATACACTGATGATAAGGGTTTCCAGGTCTTCATAAAATTTTTCTTTGACCTCATCAGGGTTCATCATGGTGGAAACACAAGCACTGGTGATGGTGGCATGACATTTTCCTGCAAGTGGTAATCACATTGTCACAAGTCTGTCATTAACTCCTTTCGGCAGGCATCCAAGCTTGTTGCCTAGATTAATTATGATTGCAAAAGCTACACTAGCTTCATGGCATTCCCCTTCACTGCAGCCACTCCAGAAAAATGTGTATCCAGCTCTGCCTTTGGTAAGCTGGCCTTCATTTGCCAGTCTTGTTTCACTCAGGGCTGCTATATGGATACTATTATTTGCTAGTTCTTTTGCAAAAAGAGCTATTTGTTTTTTAGGTCTACTGGATTTTGTGTCGTCTGTAAGTATGTGCATATTCCATGTACTGACAGCGAGTAGAATCTTCTTTGCAGAAGTTTATATACATTTTTTTTTTTTTTTGGTGTTTCCACCACAGGGTGAGATCCTCACCTGCTGTGGTAATCAGGCCAGAGTTGGGTAAGCAGACAATTTTCAGGGCACCTTTTCTAATCTTTATTTATTTTCAGTTTTAACATTCACTTTTATAAGATTTTGAGTTTAAATTTTCTCCCCCTCCAAGATGGCATGCAATCTGACATTGGCTATAAGTGTACAATCATATGAAACATATTTCCACATTAGTCATATTGTAAAGAATTAGAACCAAAGGGGGGGGAAAGTCCAAGAAAGAAAAAACAGAGAGAGAGAGAGAGAGAGAGAGAGAGAGAGAGAGAGAGAGAGAGAGAGAGAGAGAAGTAAGCTTCTATCTGCATTCACACTCCATAGTTCTTTCTCTGGAGGTGGATAGCATTTTCCATCACAAGTCTTTTGAAACTGTCTCAGATCACTGCACTGCTGAGAAGAGCTAAGTTGGTCATGAAATCTGTCTAGTTCATGAAAGTCTTTCTAGGTTTTTATGAAGTCTGCCTGCTCATCATCTCTTATAGCACAATAGTATTCTATTATATTCATATACCACAACTTGTTCAGCCATTCCCCAATTGATGGGCATCCCCTCAATTTTCAATTCTTGGCCACCACAAAAAGAGCTGCTATAAATATTTTTGCACATGTGGGTTCTTTTCCCATTTTTATGATCTCTTTGGGATACAGACCTATAAGTGGTATTACTTGTTAATAAGTAGTAAGTAGTAAGTAATAAGTGGTTATTACTTGTAGTTTTATAGCCCTTTGGGCATAATTCCAAATTGCTCTCCAAAATGGTTGGATCAATTCACAACTCCACCAACAATGCATTAGTGTTCCAATTTTCCCACATCTTCTCCAACACTTAATATTTTCTTATTTTGTCATGTTAGTCAATCTGACAGGTATGATATGGTACCTCACAGGTGTTGTAATTTGCATCTCTAATCAATAGTGATTTAGAGCATTTTTTCATATGACTACAGATAGCTTTAATTTCTTTATCTGAACACTGCCTGATCATATCCTTTGACCATTTATTAATTGGGGAATGACTTGTAGTCTTATAAATTTGACTCAGTTCTCTACATATTTTGGAAATGAGGCCTTTACTAGCTGTAAAAATTGTTTCCCAGATTTCTGCTTCCCTTCTAATATTCGGTGAAATGGCTTTGTGCAAAACCTTTTTAATTTAATGTAATCAAAGTTATCCATTTTGCATTTTATAATGTTCTCTATCTCGTTTGGTCAAAAATTCTTCCCTTCTCTATAGATCTGACAGGTAAACTATTCCTTAGTCTCCTAATTTGTTTATAGTATCACCCTTTACTTCTAAATAATATACTCATTTTGATTTTATCTTGGTATACAGTGTAAGATGTTGCTCTATGTAGGGTACCTTTTCTAGCCCCATCCTCACATGAGAAGATGAACAGTGCAGTCCTTAAAGGGCTGCTCAGATACTCAGGGGGCTGCCAAATCCCACTGCTTCCAGTGAAAAGACAACCCTATGGCCTGGGCTACCTGTGTGCAGGGTTGTGACTCAATTATATCTGCTGCTTTGTCACTTGCCTGTTGCCACAGGACTTTGAGATAGGTAAAAATGGTAAAATGGCATAGGTGATGTCTTTTGATTCATGAGTAAACTGGATTTAAGTGAGGTAGGTTTGCACGAAGTTGTCAGCCTCACTCTCTCCTCCAGAGTCATCACAGTCCAGTGGCAGGGCAGAGTCAAGATGACTGGTGATGGCCTGAGATGCAGTGGATGACCTTGGTGTCTTCTTTGGCTAACCAAGCTCTAAGCACTCCACAGCACCTGCTTCAGGTGCTTCATGACCATTGAACAAATTGTTCTCATCCATCCATTACACCAGAGGAGTCTTCATATGCTTGGGGAAAACACCCCCTTAACTCACCAACGGGATTGAGACCCCTCAGTTACTTCAACCTAATTTAGCTTGTCTGCCGAAGTGGTTTAGCGGGTTGTGGCCAGTGTGCATGCTACAGCTTCTTGGAGCCACAGGTGAGAGTTAGGTGGATCAAGTGGACACCAAAGGTGGAAAGCACCCCTGAAAAGGGCTTGGTAGCCCTCACACCAGAGATACTAGTCTTCCTTGAACACACCCTACACCTATAGAGGTGTTGGATATCTAGCATACTACTCAATCCCAATGTCCTAAGCAAACTCCAAGACCTTTGAGTATTTGGGTTGCCATTCCAGAAGGATGACTCCTGGAAATCTACCACCACCATGATATTGGAAATGTATCAAAGTTAATGAGATGCAAGTATGTAAAAGACATCTTTGTTACTGCTCAAATAAGAAAGATACACATCAGGTACTGGGTTAGTTTGGGTCACATGCTTATTAGGCAGGATATGAAAAACTGGAATGAATATAGGGAATAGCTACACAGATGATTAAAGATATGGTAAATAGGCCACATTTGGAAAAGGTAAAAAGCCTCAGTTTTCTCATTTGTAAAATGAGGAGGCTGAGCTAGATGGCCTGAGGCCCTTCCTACATCTAGAGCTATAAATTAGAGCTATTTAATGTGGAGGAGGTAAGACCAAGGACTAATTTCATTGCCTTCCAGATCCACGTAGGAGGGAAACACAGAAGGATTTGTATAAAAGGTATACTAATCTGTTGTTTTCCAAACTGAAGAATCTACTACAGACAAAGAAAAAGGCTACACGAAAACAGATTTCAGTTACAAAAGAAATTTTGTAATAAATATGCTGAAGTAGAGTAGAGTGGGCAACTGACAAAGTGTTTAGAATCTCCATGATGGCAGAACTTTGTGGGGATCATACCTTTGGCCACTATTACCTACGGTACTTTGACCTCTTTCAGCATGCCTTTCATCTAATGTGCCTTTCCTGAATAATTTCTCTGTGCTCAATGTCATGCTTACTGCTATGGGAGGTGGAAAAGAAACAGGACATCATCTCAACCTCTCAGGGTATTTATAATGATCTCATTCAAAAGAAAGGATTTGACTCACATGTAGGAAAAAAAAAAAGTTCATGAGACAGGATAAAATCAAGTGCCATAATCTATGGTCAGGAAGAGGTCCATGGGCTGGTCTGGTCAGGAAAGGCTTCCCTGAAGGAATGGGAATTTGACCCAGGCTTTGAAAAAGAGGTTAGATTTAAAATGGCTAGGGGCAGAGGGAGGGGGATAAGGAAGGGAGGACATTCCAGGGAGCAAAGACAGGAATGAATCTGAAGCTGGTGGGGGGACTGAGAATTCCCAGGCTCTGACAGTGGGACATGAAAAGTGAGGGAAGACCAAACCCTACCACAAAGGGCTTCAACTTCCAGGACGAGGGGTTTTGACTTAATCTGAAGGCAACAGAGAATTTCTTGTTCAGGAAAGAGACAGGAAGAAAACTGTTTTCAGAAGGAAAAAGCTGCCCAGGTGTGTGGGGAAGCTTGGAGTAGGGAGATGAGGCCAGAAAACAGGTGTGAGATTGGTAGTGATGGCAGCTGAAATAGCAAGAGTGGGGAATGGAGAATCTGAAAGTAAAAACTGAAAAGATGGCACTCTGCCTGCATTTATCACGTCATTGCGTGAACAACTGATTTGAGAGATCATTAGTTCCTTGAAGGAGGGACCATAAGTGATACAAACTTGTCTCTACCATGCCTAACACAGTATTCTACACACAGTAACTGCTCAGTAACTTGTCAAAATTAAGAAATAGTGAAATTTGGTGGCAAACTGGATGTGAGGGACAAGGGCAGGAAAAGGCAGAGTCAATCATCACTCTAGACCAGAAAAGTTCTTAAAATCTTTATTAGGTCATGCATCCCTCAAGCACTGCCTAGTGAAGCTTACAGATTTCTCAGAATAATGTTTTAAATCTCAAAAACAAAATACATAGAATTATAAAGGAAACCAATTATACTGAAATATAGTTACCAAAATTTAAATAAAAAGTTGATGAGCCCCAGGTTAGAACAGGCTGATTGATGAGAATGAAAAAGAGAACTGAAAAAGAGAAAACAAAACATAGCTGAGGATGTTAAACCAGTTATGATCAATTCCTGGAAATACATTCCAAAGCTAAACATATGACTAGGGAATTATCTGTCCCATCATTCATTTTCCTTCATGCGGTCAACTACAGCTCTGTCAGACAAGCAAAGAATCCGATTAGCATATGGCACCCTACACAATACATTATTAGGCCACAAAACGTAGTTGTGGAGACTCCTTTCCAAGATATCTCTAAGAATAGCTCAGAAACATATTGATCAGGTGTATGGTTGGTTGGCTGTTGTCTTTCATGCTCAAAGAAGACCAAAATAACACCATTACATTGGGGTCAAGGTACAGTGTACCCAACTGTGGCTGATCAGACCAATATGAGCTCCGAAGGCTTTACCACAGATCAGGTAAAAAGAATCCATGTGAGCATTTGGAGTGGAGCTGTCTCTAAATTTATACATTTCACGTTTCTTTTGAGCTACTGTAATTCTGCTTTGCTCTTAGAGCACAGTGCCTTTTTTGATGTAGGCACACTAATGGTTGGCAGTCCTCTGACAGTGTCTTCCATGTCTCACAAGCAATCCCAAAGTTCTTTAGAGAGACTTTAGAGAGACTTCTTCTGACTTCTGAGTGCTTGACTTGTGTGAGTTCTCCATAAAATAGTCTTTTAGGCAAGTTTGGCATTCTAATAACATGGCCAGCTCTGCAGTAGAATTTGAATGCTTGGCAGGGGTCAGCTTGAGCAAGGACCTCAGTGTCGAGTACCTTATCTTGCTAGGAGATCTTCTGAATCCACCTAAGACAATTCAAATGGAAGTGATTCAGTTTCCTGGCATGATGCTGGAATACTGTCCAGGTTTCACAGGCATACAACAGTGATGTCAGACCAACAGCTCTGTAGACCTTTAGTTTCATAATACCTTTCTCTCCCACACTTTCCTTCAGGGTGTCCTAAACACTGAGCTAGCTCTGGCAATGCATAAGTCAACCTCATCATCTATGTGTACATCCTTGGAAAGTATATTGCCAAGGTAAGTTAACTTATCCATAGCATTCAAAATTTCCCCATTTGCTGTTACTGATGGTTCCACATATGGATGGTATAGAGCTGGTTGGTGGAGAAGCTCTATTTTCTTGGTGTTGTCAGGCCAAAATTAGCAGAAAAGGCAGAGAATTGATCAATACTGTGTTGCACCTTAGCCTCATAGGCTGCACTGAATGCACAATTATCTGTGAACAAAAAGTCACACACCAATTCTCCTGCCACTTTAGTTTTAGCTTGTAGCCTTTTCAAGTTAAATAATTTACCATCAGTGCAATAGCTGACCTCAATGCCCTGTTCGTCCTCATTGAAGGCATCCAACAACATGGCTGAAAACATCATGCTAAACAGCATGTGAGCAAGCACAAAGCCCTGCTTTATTCCATTGGTGACTGAGAAAGCATAAGCATATAGTCCATTATCCAGAACCCATGCAAGCATGTTGTTGTGAAAGTGGTATATAATACTGATGAACTTCTCCAGGCAACCAAATTTTACCAAGATCTTCCACAAGACCTCATGACTGACAGTATCAAAGGCCTCGGTCAAATCAACGGACATTGTGTACAGACCTCTGTTCTGTTCCTAGTATTTCTCCTGGAGTTGCTGGGTAGCAAACACCATATCAGCCATTCCTCAGCCCTTTCTGAAGCCATACTGACTCTCAGGTAGATGACCAGCTTCCAGGTGAAGGATCAGCCTGTTAAGAAGCACTCTAGCAAGAATCTTAGCAGCAATGACAAAGAGAGAGACCCAAATGTCATTGTCACAGGACAGCCTATTTCCCTTTCCTTTACAAAGATGGACAATGGAGGCATCCTTGAACTCCTGCAAGGATCACCTCCTCTTACCACATAACCTGGATAATTTCAGTCAGCTTTTATAGGAGCAGTGGATCCCTTGCCTCAAAATTCTTAGCTGGAATGGAATCAGCACACAAGAGAAGCCCAATGACATTCGAAATCTGTTCTTCAGTTGGAAGTTTGGTTAGAGAAGGATTGACTTCAACCTGAGGTAAATTAAATGGTCAATAGCTTTAGCATTGGTTGATGATGGTTGGTTGAGAACACTACGGAAATGTTCAGCCCATCTCTCCAGGAGCATGTCTTTATCACTAATCAATGTGGCTCTATGAGCACTGAGCAGTTGATATGCACCATAGGTTTTGGCCCATAAATAGTCTTCAAGGCATCATAAAAGCACTTTGGATTGTTACTATCAATGTAAAACTAAATTTCACCTGCCTTCTTACTGAGCCAAGAATCCTGCATCTCTCTAAGCTTCACTTGCACTTTACTTTTGATGTAGTTAAATGCTGCCTTCTTAGAGAAAGACAAACTATCCTGCTGGTAAATCCTGTGGAGTTCTTGTTTTTTGTTTAGTAGCTTCTGAATTTCCCCATCATTTTCATCAAACTAGTAATGATGTTTGTGAATGTTCTGGCACAGATGATTAAATGCAGTGTTGTAAACCAAATCTCTAAAAACGTCCCACTCCACTGTTGCCAACTGTATGTTGGCTCAGCTTTCCCCCCAAGTTAGGAACAAATTGTTGACCTGGAGAAAAACTAATCCATTGACAGTACATCTTCTGGTAGCTGTCTTGACTTGGGGCCACTGCTTTTGTTGAATGCGAATGTTTAGCTCGGAGAGGATATATCTACGATGGGTACAGCACTCTACACCACACACTATCTTTATCACTCTCACATACTATCTGTCTCTTTTCCTTACATTGACATAGTCTATTGAATGCCAATGTTTACTGTGAGGGTGTATCCATGAAGTTTTATTGCATTTAGGTAAACAGAAGACAGTGCTGGTGATGAGAAGGTCACGAGATTCACAAGTCTTCAGTAATAAGTGACTACTGCTATTTCTATTTCCTACTCCATTCCTCCCAAGGAATCCCTGCCGTGTGTGGTAGACTGTTATTAAAGTCACCAAGAATTAGAAGCTTGTCAACAAAAACTCATTATCTGACAAAAACTGCTGGGAAAATGGGAAAACAGTATGGCAGAAACTAAATATAGACCAACATCTCATACTGTATACTAGATAAGGTCAAAATGGGTATATGATTCACACATAAAGGGTGATACAATAACTATTCCACGTTCTCCTTATTTGCTTATCTGTCAGATCTATGGATAAAGGAAGAATTTAGGACCAAAAAAATATAAACATTACAAAATGTAAAATAGATCATTTTCATTATATAAAATTTAAAAGTTTTTAAAGCACAAACAAAACCAATGCAACCAAAACTAAAAGGAAAGCAGACAACTGAAGAAAAAAATTTTTTTTTTACAGCAAGTGTCTCTGGATAAAGGCCTCATTTCTCAAATATATATATAGAACTCAGTTCTGAGTCATATTTATATAAGAATACAAGTCATTCCCCAATTGATAAAATGGTCAAAGGATGTGAATAGGCAGTTTTCAGACAAAGAAATCAAAGCTATTTATAACCATATGAAAAAATGCTCTAAATCCCACTGATTAGAGAAATGCAAATTAAAACAAATATGAGGTACCACCTCACACCTGTCAGATTGACTAATACGACAAAAAAGGAAAATGATGGATGTTGGAGGGGATGTGGGAAAACTAAGACACTAATGCACTGTTGGTGGAGTTGTGAACTGATCCAATCATTCTGGAGAACAATTTGGAACTATGCCCAAAAGGCTATAAAACTGTGCATACTCTTTGATCCAGCAATATCACTACTAGCTCTATACCCAAAAATATATTAAAAATTTTTTCCCCAAAAATATATTAAAAAAAGGGAAAAAGATCTATTTGTACAAAAATGTTTATAGCAGCTCTTTTTGTGGTGCCTAGGAATTGGAAATCCAAGGGATGTCCAGCAACTGGGGAATGGCTAAACAAACTGGTACCTCAGAATTGTTTTACTTTGCATTTCTCTAATCAATAGCGATTTCAAGCATTTTTTTCCACATGATTATAGATAGATTTGATTGCTTTGAAAATTGCCTGTTTGTATCCTTTGACCATTTTATCAAATGGGGAATGACTTGAATACTTATAATAAATTTGACTCAGTTCTCTATATATTTGAGAAATGAGGCCTTTATCAGAGACACTTGCTGTAAAAATTGTTTCCCAGCTTTCTGCTTTCCTTCTAATCTTGGTGGCTATCTATAATCACATGAAAAAAATGCTCTAAATCACTACTGACTAGAGAAATGCAAATTAAAACAAATCTGAGGTACTATCTCATACTTATTGGATAAGCTAATATGACAGAAAAAGAATGTTGGAGGGTATGTGGGAAAACTGGAACACTAATGTACTGCTGGTGGAGTTGTCAACTGTCCCAACCATTCTGAAGAGCAATTTGGAACTATGCCCAAAGGGCTATAAAACTGTACATGCGCTTTGATCCAATAATATCACTATTAGGTCCATATCCCAAAGAGATTTTTTTTTTAAAAAAGGGAAAAGGATCTATTTGTACAAAAATATTTATAGTGGCTCTTTCTGTGGTGGCAAAGAATTGGAAATTAAAGGGATGCCCATCAATTGGGGAATGGCTGAACAAGTTGTGGTATATGAATGTAATAGAATACTACTGTGCTATAAGAAATAACTAGCAGGCAGATTTCAGAACCTGAAAAGACTTATATGAACTGATGCAAAGGGAAAAGAGCAGAACCAGGATGATCAACTATGAATGACTTAGCTAATCTCAGCAATACAATGATCTAAGACAATTCCAAAGGACTCATGATGAAAAATGCCATCCATATCTAGAGAAAGAACTGATCTGGAGTCTGAATGCAGGTCCTAGCACACTATTTTTCACTATATATTTTTCAAGTTTTTTTTTCTTTTGGTTTGTTCTTTCAAAACACAGCTAATGTGGACATGTTTTAAATGACTATACATATATAAGCTATATCAAATTGTTTACTGTCTTGGGGGGGAGGTGAGAGAGGAAGGGAGAATATTTGAAACTCAAAACTTTTAAAAACCAAATTTTAAAAACTGTCTTTAAATGTAATTGGGGAAAAATGAAATATTAAAAAAACATAAAAGAGAAGGAAAAAAAGCATTAAAAAGGCTGCTCAGACACCTTGGGGGCTGCCAAATCCCACTGCTCCTTCAGTCCAGTGAGAAGATGATAATATTGGCCCGGGCCACCTGTATGCAGGGTTGTGACCACAGCTCCCAGTATCCTCATCTGCAGCTTTGTCACTTGCCTTTCACCACAGGGCTTTGAGACAGGTAAAAATGGTAAAATGGTAAGGGAGATGTTTTTTGACTTGTGCATAAATTGGATTAAATGAGGCAGAGTTGGCACAAATTGTTTTCATCTGTCCATTTCTCCTGGGGGAAGTCTTCACATACTTGGTTTGAGGCCTGTCAGTTACCTTATACCTGGTTTAGCCTGTCTACTGGAAGTTTACCAGGGTGTGGCCATAGTGTGTCCTACAGCTTCTTGGAATCACAGGTGAAAGTTGGGTGGCAGGTGGATAGCATAGGTGGAAAGCAGCCCTGGAAAGGGTCCAGCAGTTTTCAGACCAGAGGTACTAATCTTTCCTAAGCACCTATATACTCCAATCAGGGGCATAATCCATGTATAACTACCTGAAGGCAAAGGGCCCAATATGCTCAGGATCTGGGATTAATACAACAAAGGCTTCACAGCAATGGGCCACTGTGTCAGCAATTTAAAAATCAGTGACATTAAATCTTCTTTAACCTTCAAAAGTCAGCTGATATTTT